GCTCTAGTTAGTGACCACAATTGATCAAGATCTGACTTTTTGGCTATGTTGCTCAGACTCTCCGAAAATGCAACCAGACCCGTGTTGGATTCTCAAAATATCACTACATTTGGAGAATCCAACACGCAGCCGTTGACATTTTTGGAAAGTCGGAGCAACATAGCTTTTTGGTGTACCCATGAGGTAGATGATTGCGTTTATTTTGGGGAGAACCATAATTTGGTATCGGTTACTCTACTTTTTTGGTATACCACTTGTATATGGGGTTTTCCCCATCATTAATTTCTCTTACTCCATCAAAAAATTAAGAAGATCTTGACTCTTTATAATGTTTAAACACAAGTGGGCCAAAATATTGATATGAAGTAACCTTTTTAATGAATTTGTACTTCAACTTTTTTTCCAATAACCAAGAGATCCCCAAGGTCCTGTGGGGCATGGTTTGGGCTTGCCCCTCTACTCTTCTCCACTTAAATACCAAGTTTTGTTTCATGCAAGGTTCGAACCCATGATGTATGTGCCCATGTATCACACTTCACAGGCTGCGCTCTTACAACTAGATCAATGCCCTGGGGAGAATGAATTTTTACTTCTACTAAAACAAGATAGGATTCATTCATAAAAGCTTCTCCTTCCCTAGTACATTTCTTAGTGAATACCATACCAACACATAGATTCCCAAAATTCCACAAAAAATTATCTCTTTTATAAAAATGGGCAATTTTTTAGTCAACCCATTGATAGTTTATACTGAAAAAAGGAATGAAACTAATAAGATTGGAATAAGACTCAAGGATTCAGCCAAGTTGAATCCCCATTAAAAGACAGATTCTTTACCAAAATTGAAGCAGATGTGCCACCTAAAAGTGCCACGGTAATTGTCCAAATATGCCCAATTTTGCCTACAACACAGACATAGAATCATGAAAACATTTGCTTGAATAACGAATAAGAAATAGAAAATTTTGTCACAATAGAATGCAACCTACAATTGATGAAATACAACTTACCCAAAAAGAGAAAATGGATACCCTTCATAAACACGGTTACATATGAGGAATGTAAGATTAAAGATCCAAAGCAGAAAAACAAATTTTGTTCTCCCGCATATCTGCAGATACAGAATCATGTAAAAAGACCAGAATCACAAAATTCTTTGGTTATGGAGGACCATTTAGATGGAATGTGAACAATGTTGGCATACACAATACAGAAAATACATCTGTAAGAATGACATTTTACCCATTAAAGTGGGAAAGAGACAGGAGCACAGAATAAACCTCTGCATACAGCACTCCAAATAACATAAACATCTTCTTCATTATGAAAGCCTAAATTTAGCTTTATATATTCAATATAAAAGTAGTGGCATAACCATCTTACATTTTCCGTATCAAGATAAGATATGATAGTCAACTACCTCTCGTGAAAAGCTAAACCCAATCCAACCAAACAAAGTTAACCAGATTCCTGATTTTAGAGAAGTTCCCATAATTTTATCTCCCCCTACTAAAATGAGAATTCACCTTCCTAACAATGTTAAGTTTACCTGAAACCAAAGTTAGATAATCTATTGCATGTTCTGAAGTCACATAAGGCCCACTTGATAAGCTTATGAGCGCTAAGGTTTCCCCAAATTATTTTACAACAGCAAATGCAATTCACATTTTCTTTCATTAACCATTTAAATATTCATCTCAATAATTGGCCAACACCAATGCATATTCGTGGCTGGAGCAAGTAATGGTTTTACAAATTTATAGAGTGTAGCTGCAATGCCACATTCTATACATCATTCAATATCAACATTTGACTTGACCTCCTTTGTACGTACATAAAACTATACCCTCCCTACAAATACTCCATCAAATTAATCCGTATATTGTTAAGCTGATCCACTAAAGAGATATCAGCTAACCTTGACACAGTGAAGCTCTCAAGAAAAAATACTAACACGGCATAACATTCCAGATCATTGAATGCAACAGAACTTCAATGATCACTTCAATAATTAAATCAAGCGACTGGAGCAGTTAACAACAAGAGCACGGACACCCGGAGAGTAGGAAAATACATAGAACTTTATTACCCCTTAACCGCCTGATTAGTACTCTTGTTGTGTCAATTGTCTGAACTAAGAAATTGACCAAACAAGATTTCCTCTAGCGCAGCCTAGTCCTCTTATTTCCTTACCTTCTCTCCAGTTTTTTGTTTTTTATCCCCTTAATTCATGAGGTGGCAAAGTAGTTGGAGGAATTGGGTTTCGGAGAAACTATTCAGCATATATACATATTTCTAGCAACAAATGAAAACATCAGCAGTTAAATTCCAAATATCTTAGAGCAACTGTGTTTGAAACCAAACATGTCATTAATGATCCGTTCATTCTACAAGTCTTAGATACAATAAAACATGCCACTTGTAATGCTCTGACCAAGCCGACAATTAGAATAGAAAAGGTAAGATTGCACACAAGCTACTGCATGATGTTCGAAATTTCATGGCATATTCTTACAAAAGGACTGCAAAAGTAAACAAAAATAAGAAACAACTAAAAAGTTCTATCATACCAACCTTTACTAGGAGAAAATTAGCTGAAGCTATAGACAAGATGTATAAGACGCTGCAGCCAAAACAAAGAGTTACTAACGACCCAGAGCTCCATAATTGAAAAACAAAATACTTTCAACTTCTAAAATAACGAAAGAGCATACCAAGCTCCATGGAGATATGTCAAATAAACCAAAGAAACCATCAGCCAAACAACCGACATTCCCTTTGCTTTTAGACCATATTTTCTACATGAGGTAGCTACTAGAGTGAAGATACCAAACACTAACGTAAGAATCATCAAATTTCCCCGAAAATTTCTCCACTGAGCATCAGATACATCCTAATAACAACCAAATGTTGCAGATTAACAGAGACAGATGCAAATATAATGGTATTGAACCAAAAAAAAAAAGAGAAGGGTTTCATATAAATTGGGTATTGAACAATTTAAGCATACATTGAATCGATGAAAGATCCAACCAGATCGAAGTCCATAAAGTTTGGCGTAATGATCTGCAAATATGTTACAAGTTAAGAAACAACCCTTAAATTAGAAAGCATAAACACATATAGACATGGGTATAGAGAGAAGAAGAATACCGCGGGCAATTTGAAGAGATCGATGAATAATGAAAAGGTAAAATGAAAGGGCATAGACAATGAGAAGAGTAAGCTCCACCGAGCTTGTCATGGCGACTTCACACACTCAACAATGGCGATGAACTTGTTTGTTGTTGAAGTGGAAAACTCATTCACACATTTTGACAAACAGTTAACTGCCTACAAAATTCATATCAAATGACCAAATGGCGTTGAAAGTAGGAACAATGCGGTGTTCAGATGAATTTGATGAGTATTTGGCTCCAGTTAAACTGATATTGACAAAAAAAAAAAAACATTTCTTTTCAGAAATCAAAATAAAAAGAAATTCGATTAACTTGTTACATTTAAATTTAAACTTTATACAAAGCACTAAAAAAAATAACGGATTAACAAGACTATTTAGTATTTACTATACTATTTTTATTAAATGATGTTTAATATTAAATTTTAAAAAATAAGTAATTAATATTAAATAAATAAAATTATTTTTTCGTAAAAAATAAAATATAGATAGATAAAAATGAACATAAATATTATTCTTAGTAGTAATTATTTTCTTGAAAATATATTGAATAAAATCTTCTAAAGATGTTTTACCTTCAACTGATTGGTTTACTTCATTCTTCCAAGGTTGTCTTATTTTGATTGATGTAGTTGATCGGTAGGTCAGGAATTTTGTATATGTTTTAATATTGAGGCGTGTTAGACGTATATGGTGGATTTGTAAGTCAAGTGACATTGTTATCGGTTTGTCGTCGACCTTATGTTTTGTAAAAAGGCCAACACACGAGACCCTTAAACTTGTTTCCTAAATTTCATTTTGACACTTCAACTCAATCTTGTTCCATTTTAACCCTTCAACTCCAATTTTTATGTTCCATTTTGGCACTTCTAAGTGATGTGGCAGAAAGTGTGCATCACACATTCTCTAAGAGAGTGAAAGACAAAAAAAAGTATTTTTTTTAAAAAGAAATAAAAGATTACCCTTCAACTCTATTACTTTTATGTACCATTTAACACAAAAATACTAATTTTATGATTTCTTTATTTCTATATATGTTATCAACTGCAATTTTGCATTTTTAAAAATCGACGATCATCCGTTAATTATTGTAAAAAATTAAAATTGACGGATTATCATTGTTTTTTTTTAATAAAAAAAGTAACAATTTCTTTTTAAGAGTTGTCCTATATTTTTGCGTGAAAAATAACGTACGAAAGTGCGTCGATTTCTTTCTTAAAAAAAATCAATGACAACCCAACAAAGTCTATCGAGTTTCAACATTTTTTGATAGTGTTATTAATTAGCAATGGAACATGAGTTTTTTTTCACTCGTATTTAATTAGTTGAATGAAAAATTAGAAAGCTGATATTTGAGTTAGTCCAAGTAGACTAGATAAGAAAAAAAAAAATGTGATGTTATTTAAATTAACTAATTGTTTTTTTAAAAAAAAAACCAACACACTTTCGCAGATTATTTTTCCACACAATAAAGTACAGAAACTCTAAAAAATATATATATTTTTAAAAAACAATGTTAATCTATTATTTTTTTAACACAATAATGGCATGTGAAGTACACACATCTCACTTTGTTGGTTCTTTGAAAGAAGTGCCAAATGGAACATAAAAATTGGAGTTGAAGGGTTAAAATGGAACAAGGTTGAGTTGGAGTGCCAAAATGAAATTTAAGGGCAAGTTTAAGGGTCTGCATATGTGTTTGGCCTTGTAAAAATATATTTTGTTATTTTTTATGGCCAGTTTGTGGTATGGTCGAACCAAATAATTTGTGGTTTCGAGTCTTGAATTGTGTGATTTCACTCGGTCAAGTAAGACAACCCAATGCCCCGAATATGAGACATGACACCTAGTAGCACTACTGACTACTCATAGAGACGAGTGACCTAACTGAATATGACATAAATCAAACATAAGGCAAGGTGATAATCTGTTGTTGAGGAATTTGGATAGAATTTAACCACGAAAAATTACTTACACTAATAGGTCGAACTTCACTCAATGTAAAATAATCCCAAGCAAAATGGCTTTACCAAATTTCCTCCTATTGAATTGATTTCTGCATAGTTGCAATGACCATATGTGTTGTACATTTTACTCATCTGTCATGGTTGATCAACCATTCACACAGTTTAGCGGCTAAAGACCAAATTGGATTAGTCACGACTCGTGAGACAACATTTGAACCAACACTAGGAGGTGGTTTTGTCTCTACCAAAAATACGACTGTCGAAAAGAGGAAATCAAGGCATGAAACGGAAAGGTCTTTGATTCTTCGCAATGTAAATACACAACACCAAACACCTGCTCAACAAGTCTACTGAAATTTTAATTTCACCACCAATGGAAAAAAAAATCATTAGCAGCATCACAGCATGTTAAGCCTCAGTTTTCTGGAGAACAGTTTAATGAATATTTCCAGTTAGCTCTCACGTTCATTCTCATTTGCCGAAGCAAAGAGAATTTTATCAAAGTGGTTCACTGTACATGTAAAGAAACACACCTATACAAGTGTAGCATTGTTGCTGAACATGTGAAAAGATATGTACGAAACCTATCCTGCATTCCGTGTGGTGCTGTGCGCAACCATGGGCACCAAACAGAAACAATCATTTAGACGGGAAGGCAAGCAGCTGAACGCTGTGTTTACCAGCGGCAAATTCCAGGTGTCTCTGTTCGCAAAATCGAAACCATCTCTTCGTACTTGGAAGCATATACAAATCCCCATAACTGCATGGCACATGATAAATTTGCATATCACATTCCAAGTTAATTTCTCATGTTAAATGCATATTGCACTCTTAAAGGTAAATTCTCATAGAGCTAAGTGCAAACAAACTGCCCTGACAGATACACACATGTACATATAATATATAGAGACACAGACAAGGCAGAACACAAAACCCGCATGCGTGCAAACACATACAGAGATACAGTTGCGAGACTACCTCAACTTCCTTAACTTCAAAGTCTTCATTATGTGCCAAACAAGAATTACCATAAGTTTCTGATGTTGCACTTGAACCTGTTAGCCTGGAAAAGTCAACTACAATTAGTCCTTTCATCCTGTACTCTGTAAACTGAACAGGGCATAGAGGTAGAAGTTTGTTGAGCTGCTATATCCGAGTCAAAGATATCTTTAACAGACTCAATAGAATTTGCTTTCCCCTTGTTTTTAAACAATGGGCAATAGAGGGAATAAGTTGGAATCATAAGATCTGATTCTACAGTAAATATATTAAGACAAAAAGGTGATATTCATGATGATGATGATGATAGTTGTGAACTTGAGTTCATTAAGAAGGAAAAATTTTAAAATCCTGTCATGGCAACCAAAAATGGGACAGAGGAAAAAGGTAACTCCCAAGGGGCCGTGTGGCATTTGATTTTCCTCTTATTTCTCCCTTTGTTGGAGGACATTATGATACTAAGTAGGAAGTAGTCAAAAGCATACATAGATAAATCAATGAAATAAGGATCAAAAGGAAGGCGAAAGAAATCTTACAGATCCCCATCTAAGTAGAGAGCAAAATGGCCACCGCCTCCCAAAGCTAAATACTCCGTGGAACAGACAGTAAAATAGCGATTGACACCTACTTAGGCGACAATGTCAATGTCATGTCATAAGTAATTAATTTGAATTCCAAACAGCTTATGGAAAAACATTATCATAAAAAGCAAAAGGAACTGAATAATCACAGTCAGAAGTAGAAACAGTTCCAATCATGCCAGGATTGGGATACTAGTGATTTCAGAGAGAATAAATGATTAGTTTCTGGAAAATACGAAAATTCTTGATCATTACATCTTTAGTATCCACTAAGAAATCTCTATTTCATAGCTTGTATAGTTATACTACTATCACCAGCTAAAATTTTCAGCATCTTGAGATGGCAGTAAGTCAGGTAAACAATGGATTAAAAATGTTTCAAACCCAAGATTTCCCATAAGAGGACCACTATTTCAAATCTCCTTTTGATCATCAATACCACAAAAAGAAAAAGGATAAGGACATGCTGGACCAGCCCACTCCCGTCCCGATGCATTAAATAAATTTGTTATCAACAAACAAAAACAAAGAATGGGAATTTGATCTCCAAACTTTAGACGTCTGGTACAAGTACAAGGAAAAAAGAGATACCTGTGGGACGAAATATGACAGGTTGGCCAGATACATTTGAGAAAACAAATGAATTATTTGTACCCTGTCAAATACCAAAATCAAATCAAGATGGCAAATGGAAACTCAAAGGCAAAGGTGACGTGTTTTAAGTATTCTGCTCAGAATTACCTGATATTTTCTCTTCGTTGTTGGCTTTAAAGGTGCATCAACTAGCCCACCAAACACAGCACCATTATGGTCCCCCACAACCTATAAGATTTGGACAACATGAGAGAAACACAACTAGAGTCTTGTGCCAGATTTAACAATTTGCAAGTCTCAAGTCTTAATGACTATGTCCACCATTCACAATGATGGAAAAGCAAAGACACCAGACACCGACAGGAATGCTTTTAACTCCAATAATGCAGAGAGATAGAGCACTCGGAGTCTCAGACTCATACCAAAAGAGCAACCAGCAAGAAATCAAAATCAAAAGTGACAAATATACTGCCCTTTGACTTCAACAACGGCACACATCGAACTTCAGAGGCATTTCCATTCCAAGATCTATCATTTTTACTTTTTCAAACCATGACGCCTAACCCAGAAATCTTACAACAACATACCCAATGTAATTCCACGAGTGGAGTCTAGGGAGGGTGGTGTGTACACAGCCTTACCCTTACCTTGTGAAGGTAGAGAGGTTGCTTCCAATACACCCTCGGCTCAAGTAACGACTGACACATACGGAAAAGAAATATCTAACCCTGAAAACTTGAGTTCCAGAAATATCAGAAGGAATAAATTACCATATTATGAGTTTATCAGCACAGAGAAGCATTGCTTAGATCTTGTTATGAAACAACGCCTTGTCTTTTTAGTGAGAGATATATAATCTAACTGACCTACACTTGGTTTCTGAAAATATGATTTGGACTGCAACAGCAGCACTAATAAGTTAGGGCATAAAAATATAGCAAGACTCTGGAATATTTGAACATTTATTAATGAAACAGCTGGATTCTATTCCACATACAAGAAAGCACGGGGATTCTACTCCTTTTTAAGTTCGATACTGATAAAAGGAAAGGAGATTATCTGGTGGTTTCTTCAAGAAGTGAAATACACACA